TTTTCAACTGCAACACCTCATAGCATTTAGATTTCGTTAAGATTCTCAACAATGGAGAAAAATGACTAGAAACTTATCGTTATGTGCATACGAGTTCTTAATGGATTGAATGCACATAGAACCAATGATAGCTTGATAAAATTAATGCCCCCGTCTGAAAAGAACACTCTACAGTTCTGGAACTTCTCGCAAAAGTACTCGAATGTCTCTTCTCAGTATGATAGAGCATAATTAGTAGTTACCACCTTAAGCTACTACGAACGTTAAACGCAACGCAGTTCAAAGTGCATTCAAAGGGCGAAGATTACACGGATCTCCCTCAACACTCCGAAGTGTGAACTAAAAACTGAGAACTGATGTAAAAGATACGATGCGAACCGCGTAAAACTGAAATATATTCGCGGGCCATTCAAAATTGCTACAGGAGTAGTTATTTTGAGTCTACTTACTTAAGAATTTAATAAAGTAGGATACGCAGTTTGTTTTATTTGCACTCAGATTTATGGTTATTCAGTCTCATAATTATAGTGAAAGTTTTGAAAGGATCAGTGAAATTATGATTTTAAACGTCGCCGTATTATCGAAAAACATTTGTAGCGATGTTCAATCTTTATCGGTTGTTGGTCTATATTTATTAAGCATGTGAAATAATGTCTATCGTAGATCACTTAGAACTCGTTTATAAAAAGTTATTTTTCTGAAAATTATACGAATTCAGTGTATTTGAATGTAATTAACACAAGAACAATTAGAAGCGATACTCGGAGGCTGGTTGTCTAGTTTTGTCATAATTTAAACTACCGTATTTTTTCAGCTGTTTTTTTTTTTTTTTACCAAGTTATACAAATTTTAAAAGTATTCGCCTAAGTTCCATCCTTCCTCAAAGCGGACTAAAAGAGTCTCAAAGAGACTAAGGGAGTGAAAATGTATCTATATGCAGCTTTTATGTATATTAGTACCAACTTTTGCTGTTCCAAAAGAATTAAGAAAAATCCTGTATTTCAAAAGTTAAGGTTATGCAGGCATCCTTACAAACTAAAAATATGATGATGTAATTATTTATTTTATTAGTGTTTTAACTCATTGTATGCGGATTATATTTCGCCGCGGATTTTTCCTCGTGTAGCGGGCGCGTTTTTTCATGAATTTCGCTCGAGATTGGTTATTTATTAAAATCGCAATAAATCAATACAGTGCCTGTCGTATTTATACGGTACCCCCTGTCCAGCACAAATCTACTAAATACGTACTTGCGCTGTTGATAGTGCGCTGTACTGATAGACTTCAAAATACGTAAAAGTATATTCCCCGCGTGCAATAATATCCGTTCATTAATCCCATGCAAGTTTGTAACTTAAGTTTCTTTTTTCTGGATAACTTGAATACAAGACATTTTTTCTCTATCCATTTAGGGAGACAGCCTTTTTATGATTTGGCATTATTGATTAAAAGCAAAGCATTAAAAAACATTAAAAAAGATTTTAAATTATATTTTTAACCACACCCCACACAAAGTTTAAAAAAACAAACATCTGTAAACACAACCCACACATGCTATGCCGACATGTATATCTTGCCTCTGTGTCGATCTAATTTCTCATAATACTCGTATGTTAATTTAAAGATAAGCCCCCGGCTTATTTTGATAAATACAAAAAGCATGCTTTGCTATATCTAAACAGTGGCGTAGCTGGAATGTTTGCAGCCCGAGGCAGTTCTTTAGTTTGCAGCCTGTTTCTTTTGTTTGCAGCCTGCGACGATTCTTAAATTTACCGCAGGTCTTGATGTACAAACAATTAACTACAAAAAGTGTCAAAACGTAATGTAGAGAAATAAAACGCTCCTGTTATTTTTGAAGAAAAATTTTAATTCCAACTTTTCAAATTCTATTATTATTATTACTGCTGCTGTTTTATTTTCTTTTTGTTTGCAAAACATCAGTGACACATATAATGTTCCACAATACTTTGCCAAGATATAACGTCGAGGAACCTAGTGAACTAAGTAGCGAATTATCGCATATACGTTGAGTTCCAGTAGTCCCTACAGAGACGTGAGAAGGGTTAAAATACCCTTTTATTCAAAGAAATAATAAAAGATGGCTCCTTCTCGGGCTTACATGAAAGCCTCCACCTTTTAAATCAAATTAAGAAACTAATCTAATACTAAACTAAATACACTTATTCGAAGCTAGACACAAATACGTAACGTAGTTGGTCCTCAAATTAACCTAGCCGGCGATTTTCAACAGTCACGTACAATACTGCCGAGCGTAGTAGATTTAAGAACGAAGTACCCAGAAGGCAAACACGCGCCACTTAAGGCTCCTAAGTACTCTCTTTCGAAATAATTTAAACTTCCTTTAAATACTTCTTGTAACTCATTTGCATTCAACGCGATTCCAGAAACTCATTCTGGCAGGTGAGTAGGTAAGTGGGAAACAAGCATTGAAAGGATAAGATTTCAAAATTAAAAACAACAGTTATGAAATTTAATTACACCTTACATATTGTAGATATCTATACGATTGCTCTCGCTGTTATGTAAACAGTGGAGAAAGATTTTTAAAATCTAAAATATACATTTCTAATTCTTAAATACTTTACAAACAATTTTATTTAGAAAAACATCTCGCAACTAACAACACTTACAACAACTGAGAAGAAAGTTTGCGCTATTACTTAGAACCTTGTTCTGGAGGACTGTATTTTACTGGAGGACTGTATTTATTCAAAATCTGCGAAAACAAATTAACCTGCCAAACAACACTGCAAAAATTCGAAAGAACTTCCCTTCTAGGTTCCTATTTCAACTTCCATAGTAATAACGGAAATGAAACTCTGAAATACATCTCTTAACGAAACATTTTTCTCTCTGAATATCACCATGATCATAATTTACTTGATTTTCGTAATTTGCAAATTCAAAAACTTCGACGGAATTATGGGATTGTTAAAACAAGGTGGTGATTTTTTCCAATACTTGAGGAAAGAGTTCTTGTCCATTTAATTCCTTGAGGCAATTTGGAGACTAAAATTATTTTTCACATGCCTCGATGACACACTGATTAACACCTATAAAATAATTTTTCAACCAAAAAAAAAAAAAAAAAAAAAAAAAAAAAAAAAAAATTCTGCCCCTAAAATGCAATCCTCAGGGGAACCATGCCTATAGCTCCACTATGTATAAAGCAGGACATTAGTTTTCGCATGTTGAGAGATGTATTATTTTCTCTTTTCGGTATCAGTATTTGCAAGTTAACGTTTGTAAGTTAAAGAAAAACTGTATTTACGTTTATTTCCAGTTTTTCAGAGTGCCCTGTTCCTTAATATATGGAACAAGCTGAAAGAGGAAATCCCTGTATTGCTGAGCTATTAACAGAGACTGTTTATTAATTATTTAATTTTGTCATCTATATTAAAACATAACAGAGGTAGAGTAAATGTTATCCTTTTTCCCTTCAAAATAAACCTCTACACTGTAACGATAAAAAGCTGATTTCACTGTACAATTTTTGTTTTCTACTTCCTTTGTATTGAAGGCATCAATCACATTAATAATATGCAACTAGCTTGAAAGGACGTCTTCAAAGACTATCGCTACCTATTGTGATCATCAATTCGGTGACGCTTATCTGATTATAGATAGTGCGTGGTAAAATGCATTAAGATGATGTAACAAAGAGAATCTGTCTATGTACATTACGTTCCACTTCTAAGTTATCTACCTAAAAAAATCTGATGCGTACACAACACATGACTTCCTTGTACGGAATTTTAAATTGTACACATTTTTTCGTGCTTTTCATTTAAATTTATTTCCTTAAATTTCATTAGGGATATATTTCTCATTCAAATTAATTCAGTTCTCACTTCTCGGCAAGGCAAAAATACATAAAAACTAAAAATACTTTTATTAAAAATTGAAAGATATAAAAAAACATAAAGCACCAAATATATTTAGAACAGTTAAAAAACAATTTTTGCAATTGAAATTAGAGTTTTTACGCAAAAACAAGCAATTCGGCCAACGAGCAAGAAAGCAGAGTTTTCGGTGCAAAAAACTAAGAGTTTACTTTTGGTCCCACTCGGTAAAAAGACACTGAAGGTAAAGACTTAATTCAGTATTCTGCTAAGTTTCAAATGTAAACAAATATGGCTGCTATAATAAAAAAATTAGGCTTATCCGCACTTGAACAATTTTTAAATTGTTGAAAATTCTACAATTATTGTATGCAGATTAACTAAGGCATAAAAACCCTAACCAGAAGATAAGAACAACATAATTCGATCATTTTTAAAGTAAAAAATGCACAATTTACCAATATATAAGAATAAAAAAACTGAGCTCAATAAGCCGGGTAACAGAGTGGCTCTCTCTAAATATTTATATACTTTCGGTGCAGCCATTTGCAACCAAAAAGGGAGGTGCACAACTATATGTTATAGCCGTCCTATATACAAAATTTCAACGTTTTCAATTTCCCCTCTTTTTAAGTTATGTGAGATACATATGTACTCACAGATGCCAAGAAAAAATCTTTTCTTTCTGAATCAATTTTAAATCAGTTTTGTAATTCGTTTTGGGAAAAATAGTTATTTACTGTGTCCTTACGTACAGATGTCATGCAAAAACATCGTTACATTGCATTTGATAGCGGTCAAAGGGGATATTTTCGTTGAAACATGATAGCCGAAATTTTTCGTGATTACAATACTTCCTTTACTTCATATACAAAGAAATAAAAATCAATATTTTTCAAGTAACTGGGAAATTTAATGCTTGTGTCCCAGTTATTGATAGATCCTGTACTTAAATTCCATCTTTTAGCTTGCGTTTTACACTAAAGTGAATCCGAATCAGCTATTATCAGGTAATTCTACTCTTTCATCTAATCTTCAGTGTGTTATCAACAGTAACAATAACACTTCATTCTTGGTTTCCTTCATCACATGTAGCATTCTGCATAGAATGTGTTGGAGAACAATCAACTTGTTACACAAGATAGTAAGGCAATCAGCTTTCGATCATAGTCAATGGTCATACGGATCAAAGATCGCGCATGCTATCTGTAAGAAGAAAGAAATTTTGATTGCAATGAAAGCGAAGGGAAGTTCGGATTTACATTAGGTAAGCTATAAAATATTTATTTCTTAGTCTAGACATCGAAAATGGCTATTTTTGAAGGCAAGTATTGAGTTTTTAAGTTTAGTCAGCTTAGATTACTAATGACTCAACAGTTTCGAGTAGAAGCAATAGTGGAATTACTGCCAAGGACGGCAAAAATCGTTTGTTTTTGAGCAATATATTTTTAAAGCTGAAAATCTAGAATTATGTTATTTAGAATTTCGCAGTCTAAGATGTCCGAAATTTGTACATCTTATTTCGTAATTTCAGTCGCACTTTTGATCAGTTAAGATAATCAATCTGCAGACGTGATATTTCAGACAATTTTATGGGAAGTGACTGGCAATGATAATACGCTTTCTTAAAAAGTATTTTTTGTTCATGTTTTGACTTCAGATATTAAAAGCTTTCATTTAGTCCACTCATGGTGTTCTACAAAGAATGAAATTTTGTCGTTAATTTTTAATCTTACTTCCTGATTTACTTTTCAAGTTCAAGTTTTGTACATACACTGTTGGTCAATGGCAAAACAGTGTGGTGACATGACTTCTGTAAAATTCGATATATGTTTTTTTTCTAATTTAATGTTAATTTCAACAATTTTTTTTCATATATCTTCGCTTAACGAATAAACAAAGAATACCCGAATTTTCCTCTTTACGCATTCGAAAAAACAACAACAACAAAAAAAAAAAAAAAAAAAAAAAAAAAAAAAAAAAAAAAAAAAAAAAATTATTGAACCAACCTTATATGAAAATTTTAACTTAATTTCTGAAAAACTGCTCGATTTTCAGATTATCAGATTATTTGACGTTTATGGTTTTAAAATTTCAACATCTAAAGGTATATACAGTTTTGAAATTTTTACAGATTAAACAAACCTTTCGTTCTCTTTTAAAAGAAGAATGATAAAAAATATTAATAGAGCAATTTTCTACATTTTTTTTTATTTTTGTACGAAGTATAAAAAATATTGTAATGGTGAAAATTTTCGAGTGTCATATTTCAACGAAAATATCCATTTTGACCGCTCTCGAATCTAGCTGAACCATGTTTTATGCGTGACTTTTGCACGTATGGACCGAAATAAAAGACTCTCTTTTTTTCAAAACGGATTTTAAAACGGATTCATAAGAGACGTTTTCATGACGTCTGTATGTATGTACGTTCGCACGTATATATCTATCTCGCAACGACGAGATAGCCGTAGAACTCAAAATCGAGTAGACAGACGTAGAAAGTTGAAATTTTCTGTATGCGACTGCTATAATATGTAGTTGTGGACCTCCCTTTTTCATTGCAAGTCGGCAGCCCCAAAGATATATAAATATACATATATATATTGCTACTCTGTCACTCTGGATGAGTCCATTTTTGTTATTCTTATATTGGTAAATTGTGCATTTTTTGCTTTAAAAGTGATTGAATTATGTTCTTATGTTCCGGTTAGGGTTTTTATGCTTTAGTTAACCTGCATGCAATAGTTGTAGAAATATCAACAGTTTAAAAGTTTAAGTACCGCTAAGCCTAACCGCCATTTGTTTATATTTGAAACTCTGAGTAAAACAGTGACTTACGTCATTTGGTGCACTAACATCAATGTCTTTTTTCCCAGTGCGACCCAGATTTAACTTTTAATTTTGTGCACCGAAAATTTTTTCTTCCTGCCCGTTGACCGTATTGGCTCTTTTGCATAGAAACTCTCATTTTAATTGTAAATATTGTAATAAATAAATAAATTTTTAATGAAGATGGAGTTTTATGAATCTTTGCCTTGCCGCGAAGTGAGAACTGAATTGATTGAATTAGAAATATATCGCTAATGAAATTCGAGGAAATAAGTTTAAATGAAATGCAGTAAAAAATGTCTATAATTTAGAAGGCTGTACAAGGATGTCATATGTTTTCCTAATCAGATATTTTTAAAATGTGCCTTGCAGTCAGAAGCAAACAGGCCAAAACGAAGCGTTTCTGTCGGAAAAATTGCTTTTGATTTTACCTTCCTGAGGCACTCAATGACGATTTGGGGATATCTGTATTTGTTTATAATATAGTAAAAAAACACAGATATCCCCAAATCTGTGTTTGTTTACTATATTATAAACAAACACAGATAGTTATATATAGTTTTTAATTACAAAAAATAATAGATAAAAACACAATATATTGTAATCAACGGCAACAAACCAACGATGGACATCTGCAGGCCGCTATCCGCGAGCTCATTTCCTTCTGTTTATGAAACGTTTAACGTAATTTATTATTGTAAATCGTGTATTTAATGAGCGTGCATTATTATTCTTTTCTGAAATAGTGATAATATGGAGTCAGAAATTGATTTCGGGGTATTTTTTGCTTTGCATTAATTTCTACAATCTTCTCATTATCTTAAAAATATTTTAACTAGAATATAAGGACTGAACTATCTAAAATGTATTCAGAATGAATTTTTAGGATTTTTATGCGTGTTCTTTTGCATGACGTCGTTCTATCTGTGAAATTTACGTACACAGATATATTTAAATACATAGTATAAATACGTTGAAGTAACTCGGGTTCATTATTCCAAAGTTTATTCTTAAATTTTCTGTATTACCGCAGCAAAACATATTATGCAGTCCGAGGACCAACACACATTTTAAATTAGTTCCTTGCAAATTCAGAATAGAGATGGGAAAAACCGCTCTTGTAGGAGATCGGAACCATTCTCTAATGATATGAATCGGTTCTTTTCTATAACTCACTGAAAAATAACTGAAACCTTGATGAAAATAATCCGGAACGAGTGTTGAATCAAGAGCAGTTAGTAAGGATGAGCAGAAAGCAGAAAGAATCTAGCGAACAATGGAATCGGGACCGTTTAGCGAAGACAGAAGGGAAAAAAAAATCGAATGAGGAGTGGTACTGTGAGATTGACTCCATTAAACGCTAACATACCGAATTTCTTTCTACACAGAACTAACAATAAACTGCTAGAATAAAAATATTTCGAAGAGTTGGGAAATGATGAAATTAAATATACTTTGAAACATGAGAGGATAAACATTTTTTCTTCCCTAACATGAGAATCGAAATTTCCTGGCACGCTTCCAACAACAGCTCGGTTCCTTTATCATCAGTCAAACGTAAGGTCGCTCAGTAAAGTTACTCAGTTCGTGAACGAACAGCAGACCTCTATTCTTGGCCCACTTCCAAAAACAGCTCTCCGTGAACTGTAAAAGAGCTACATTCTATTTTCTGGAATCGAAGTAAATTCACTCAGTAAAGTGAATCTATTCTTTAAATCAGCTTCGGAATGGGTCGTCCAGCTTTAGAACACAAACCCGACTAGTGGTCGAGGGGTTAAGCGCGCTGAATACTGGTAGTTCGATCTGGTTTGGTTTCAATCCCAGGTGAAAGGGCTGGGTGAATAGTTGGTTCTGTGGTTTTTCTTATGTGTAGCATGAATACAGTTTCCTTCAAAATGCATCCTTTTTCTTAGGAGCTCTCATGGCTTCGCCAAATTGAATGTCAAATTTTCCGCAGCCGATAGATTCTGTGATTTATCAACAGCGAGTACATATGTAGCTTACAAATAATTTTTTTTCAATGCTTAACATTCTGTAATTCATAAAAACAGAAAATCGAGCAATGCGTTAAATTTTTTTCATCTTTCGAAAAACATCTTAGGAAAAGTAGCCAGTGTGAAATATTTCTAGCTAAATTCTGCAAGTATTAATTTCTTGGCCAATTTTGGAACAAAACGTATAAATTTCTTTCCCATAGCAATCGATATTAATGCACATTCAGCTTAAAAATAACTTATCTTTTAGCTCTATTGGTCATAATATTCAAATGTGCTGCTACGGACTGTTGTTATATTATCACCATGGTATCCAATATGTAACTTAATTCCTATTACTATTACTTTCCTTATAGAAACCAAAAATATTAAACAAAAAAGAAAGCATGATACCAAATTTAATAAGTTCAAGTGAGAAATCATTTACGAGGGGAAAACAATTCTTTCAAAATAATGTTCGTCACCGGCAAAGTTCTTGGGAAAAAAAAAAAAAAAAAAAAATATAATTATTAAGCCTTTATGTACAGCTTTCATGAAATGCATTTTATAAATTCTAACTTCATTTTATAGCAGAAAAAAATCCATTCTACAGATATTTGGGAAAATTCACATTCCATTTCCTTTCAATGTTATATTTGCGCAGAATTTTGGGGCATAGCTTAAAAAAAAGGAACCAAAACTGTGCGCAATATTTTTAATAAATTATCAATGTTCTACTCATGTAGAATTTAAGAAAGTGAATTTCAAAGACGTTTAAAATGTCATTCATATTAATCAATGTCTGGCAATACGTATTTCAGCATTCATTTAATAGATGTTTATTTGCTTAATTTAATGCAATAAAACGTATGAAGGTCTTATACCTATGAGAAGGTTCGGTTCTCCTTCGTGGAGGACTCTCTAAAAGAAACTGTCTCGTGTTTATGTTGCTCATGAAGAACACTACGAAAAGATTCACGTAATCAACCTCTACACTGAGATTAAAACTCAGGTTCAGCTACCAGTATTCAATGGTTCATTTAGAGTAGGGGGGGGTTCCAAGGTTCCCAACGAAGTCGGCTTTGACCCCCTGGGGGTTGATGAAATTTTAAAGAGGTCAGGATAATCAAGGGGGGGAGTGAGGGTCGATAGCGAATTTGACGCGGCAATCGATCGTAAAAATCAAGCTCCCATTGATTGCCAAAAGAAATATTAATAAATTTATAATGAATTATTTATTGATATACAATGCATCATATAGTGAGGAAGAAATCATAAAATGAATATGAGGGGAAAATACACCAAAATTATTTAATATGTTTTTAAAATCGATATCTTTTTTTAAATATACAAATTTTTTATGCAATAAGTACAATATAAAGAAAGTTTAGAGTTTAGTGTTCTTTGCTACCATCCAAAATTTCTAAACTTATGATAGACGTTAATCATATTATATAATATT